CATTCACTGCCTTTTCCTAGACTGAGCAAAGTGCAGACAATAGAGCCTCAGACTCCAAGGAAGTCCACAGTCTAAGAGAGACAGATATCACCTTAAATAATTATAGTCAAAAATGGCAGGTTCAGAGAGAACTTACAAAAAATACAAACCTATACAGAGAAATCTTTAAAACACTGAAAACCTTCCTTCCTTAGTGTGTCTCCCATTCGCAATTGTGGGAAGAGGCCACAAAATCCAAGGGAATGGGGAAGGCCTTCTTAGGTTAATGGATCTCTGAAGGGAAAATAGCAGCTGAACTGTAGGTAGACAGTGCTTACTATGTGTCAGACCTATGGATGCATCTACTGACCCAATCCATCCTCCGAATAACCTGGGGTGGGAGTCACCATTATCATTCCTGGACTACAAGACACCACACTGACTCCTTCCTGTAGCTGTCAAAGTTTGCTGCTGCTGGTTTAACCCAAGCCAGCCAAGTTAGGCTTGTCACTCTCATACGGGCCACCAGGTGGCAGCACTGGTCCATCGATGAGGCGCATCACCAGCCAGAGCCTGTGACCAGAAGCTGAAGTCAGCAAATGCTTTCAGAACCAAAAAACTCCTTATCCTAACCCAGGCAGCATCTCCATTAGATTTGTTTACAGAGAGAAGCAACAGCAGTCCAGTTCTGCAGCCCAACGAGGCCCCAGCGACACGGAAGGGAAAGCCACCGACCGACTGGCCATGTTCTCTACCTTTCTCAGGCCACCATATTGCTCACCCTCCCAGCACCTCCCGGTCCACAGCTGGCATCTGCCCCTGCTCAGGAGTTCCACTCCGTCCACCTGATCAGGCCACAAGGGAGGATCTGGAAGTAAGGAGAAGACGGGCGCCCTCCCCCTGCTTAGAGGCAGATTCATTCTTCCTCGAATACTCACTAGCTGTAATTCCCGTTACTTACGCAGGCCAAACACCAGGTGCATATGGTTGAGTGGAGCGGGCACCAAACTAGTTCAGCGTGAGCTCAATACGATCCTAATTCAGATTTGCTGGTGCTGTGGAAATACTTGTTGCTGGAAAAATGTGACCTCCTGCCCCAACCCTCCCAAACCATATAGCTTCTGAGAGATATGGTCAGGGTCTTTGTTCATTTATCCTTGGTTTTATGAGGGGAAGAAAAGATATACTTTATAGATATTATAGGGGCTTTATTATACAAATATGAAGACTTGAATGTACTAATTTGCAATGACAACTAAGGTGATGGAATGAAAAAAGAAATCGAAAGTACATTATACCAGAGGTTCTAGAAAGTATGAGCATAAACGAGACAGGTTGTCATAGGAGAAAGGAACAAGATGGATGGACTGAAGGAAAAGAATCTATTCAGCTGTGGACGGAGACTGGTAAACTGCAGGCTGGGGTGGGAATTTGCAAAGAGATAAGCATCCATCACTCCAGGCTCCAACTCAAGGGAACAATATGGCAAGGACAGGTAACTGAGACTGTTATAGGTAATCCTCTATCCAACGCCCTGGGAAAAGGTCATTAGGTTCTCTTTTGCAGTTTCAGAAACACAGCTTGCTTGGTCCATTCATAAGGAGTCTGAGGAATCAATTCAACAAAACCACCAGAAACGATGTGAATGAAATCCCAGTATGGAACAATTCACCCAGCCATCAGTAGAGGGCAGTCTTGCCTAATAAAGCCCAAACTCCAATCAGAAACCTGAATCTGGGCAGTGAGGTTACAGTTGAAGTTCATTTCCTTTCTATTTGTTTACGTTTTGTAATCGTTACACAATAAGTGCATCATTTACATGCGTGTTGAAAGTGTAATTTTTCAGCAATCTTCTAGCAGATGGTACAGGAAAAAACAGTGTGTGTGTGTGATTATGTGTCATATGGCAAAATAGTTTTGTAACATCTCGGAGGAATATGGGGCTTCTTGGTGCTAGTCTTTCACTTAAAAAAGTACTTGGGAAGTACTTCGAATACAAAATACCTCCTTTGACTCAAAGACAACGTCTCCCTAAATAACAGAACCAGTTTTGTCCACCCCCCCCCCCCCACGCCTGCTGGAGCGTGCCCTGCGCTTCCACGAGGCCGGCGCACACCTACCCAATTACCGCGACTCGCTTGCTTGTGTTGCTACCGGTCACTCAGCAATGCGGGCGGGGCCTGGCGGGTCACCTAGCACTGGGCGGTGGTCCCGGATATCCCTCGCACCGCAGGGCCCGAGAGGGCTCCCCGGGCCAGCAGCTGGCGCTGGCCGCCGCCGGCCCGGCCTCTCCCGTGAGGCCCGCGGGGTGATCACACGTGCCCGCCCGCCCCGCCCGCCCGGGGCCGGCTCGGCCTTCCAGCCAACGAGGCCCGTCGCCCCCTTCGCCCCCTGCGCTCCACCGCTGTCCGCGGTGACACTGTAGGGAAGCGGAGCCGCCTGCTGGGAGACCTCAGGTTGCGGGGAGGGGGTGCAGGATGGCGGCTCGCCGCGCGGCCTCCCCGCTGGGGGTGACCCCGTGGCCTCCCCGCTGGGGGTGACCCCGTGGCCTCCCCGCTGGGGGTGACCCCGTGGCCTCCCCGCTGGGGGGTGACCCCGGTGGCCTCCCCGCTGGGGGGTGACTGGCGGCCTCCCCGCTGGGGGGTGACCCCGTGGCCTCCCCGCTGGGGGTGACCCCGTGGCCTCCCCGCTGGGGGGTGACCCCGGCGGCCTCCCCGCTTGAGGGTGACCCCGGTGGCCTCGGTCCCAGACGTGGCCGGAGCTGGTTGGTGGCCTGCGGCGCCGCCCTCACCGTCCTGACCCCTGGCCAGCGGGCGGCCGGCTGCCACCCCGGGTGAGGCGAGCCGGGGCCTGCCCCGAGGACAGCAGGGAAGACCGCCAGCCTCCCCCGACAGGCACACCTCTCTCCACAGCACCGGAAGTGCCCAGGCAGACAGACCCGCCCCCCTTCTGGACCTGGCTCCGGGGTGAAGGCGGCACGGAGCGCCGCTCCCGAGCCCCACGGGGCTCTCCTTTCTGCGGGGAAGCTAAAAGCATGCATGTGCCATCGGGGTCCCGGCGGCCCGGCCCGCGGCGGCGGCCTCGGCTC